CACTCTAGAGTCTTTACACGTCTCCTTTACCAAGCAGGTCGTTTAAACTTGATTTAGTTTTAGTCTCTTATTTAATGTGTAATATTTTTATCTTTTAACGTCTGTTGTCTTGTGTTTTATTTGCTTTTCTCTCTTTAATTGTGAAGAACATTGTGATCTCTGCACCTGAGAAGTGCTGTATGAATTAAATTACTTACTTTTATTTCTGTTATCTGGTTTCGTTCGGTTGTTATTTAGTTGACTGTTCAAACAATCAAACATGCCAGTGACATGTTGTGTTTGTCTTCATTTGGCAGGTATAGACCAACATACCAAGACAACACGGGTGAAAGGTCAGTAGATGATTAAGTAAACATTACTCATGAAGTACTTTTCAAAATAAAAGTTAAAATGTGTTTCATAGCCAAGAGAAAAGACTACAGACGACTATAACAACACACATCACAGACTGACACAACGTACTGTTTACCCTCGATACTTTACATATTCTGCTTTTTAATTCACAATATGAAGAAACAATTCTGGACGAACAATTCAGTTTTGACTTTCTATATTTAATCTAATACAGAGACAACAGATGTGTGGAGTAACATGTGACTGAAGACTACAGTTTAATTTGGTTCCTAAACTTTATTAACTAACTGTTTTAAATGACATCTGCTTTACATCTTGTGTTTCTCTTCCCTTTGACAGTAAATATCCCATGTTCAGTCTGGCTGTGAGCATCCCATACGACGACAAGAAGAAAGAGTACGACATCAGTCAAGTCACTAACTCTATGTTTGACTCTCCTGCTACAGTGAAGAATTCGATTTTAAAATGTAAAGTTTACAGGGGCACGAGGGTGGTTGCAGCCACAGTTCTGAAATGGCCCAATGTTCTGGACCAGTGTCCTGATGAAGAAGTACAATGGTCTATTGTTCGGGGGAATTGTAATAAAAAGCCTAAGACATGGGCTGACCTGAAGACAGAGTGCCCTAATGTAGTTTATAGAGCTGATCATGCCGAGTACCGTGTTCTGGAGAACTTTGACACGTTAAAGAATCAAAACAAAAATGATTTCTTGCTTTTCTACGTTCTTGCTTCCCCATGTGGTGACAAATGTACAGCCATAAATACAGCCGGGAGCATTCTCAAAAGCATAAAACAGATTATGAAGTGGAAGAGCTACGCTTTGGTGTTTTCCGATGTATTCCAGCCTCTAGGTGATATAGTCGTAACCGAGGAGGATCGCAAAGGAGCGCTTCAGCGGCTTGGGACAAGCATTGGTCTGAAAAACATATACCGTGTTACCGACAGCCGCTGCTCACGCTGCTCTATGAGTGATAACGATGACGTCATCCGCTTCTGTTACACAGACGAACCACAACCTGGTCCTAGCCACAACAAGCCATCCGCTTCAAACATACAGCCTCCACGTGGCAGAAGTGATTCCCCCTCACGAAGTGGTCAGGGTGAGAAAGACCAAAACAACAAGATTAATAAGAACGCAGGGGTTTCGACTAATGTTGGCCGTAATTCAGGAGGGGTGGTGGGTCAGGGTGACAGCGGAGGGGGGGAGGGTGGATGGATGACACCCAAAAAAAGAAAAGGTAAATAAGACGACTGAAGGTGAAGGTGTTTCCTCCTCACAAAGTGGCCTCGAGGTCCGTAATAGCAGCTGCAGGGAAGCAACTAGCAAGCGCAAACCTTCCACCATTGACAGGTTGTGATACTCTGTGGTACTCAGAGGTGATTTTCATTTTGTTTCAGATTAAAGATAAAAAGGAAGTCTGCTGTAAATGAAGCTCAGTATTTCCTCCTGTCACTGTAAACTGAACCTCTGTAAAGTGTTCTGTTCTCTCTCATTAAAGCTTTGGCTCAGCATCAACTCTGATGTGTGTGTGTGTGTCATTTTAGAGCGCAGGCACAACAACCCTCATCTCACAGTTTGGATCTTCTGGTGAAACAGTTCAACGTGTCTCATAGATAACACCTTTCTATTATCGTCTTCTGTCTTTTTAATCTTTTTGCATGAGTGAATCTGCATGCTTTTACATTTCCAGATAAAGGCGTGGTGCCATGCTGCAGGTGTTGCTAATCTCCCAAATTCAAACTACAACTTATCCAACATCACTTTATCTCATGATATAGGTCAGCCTCACAATACATACTAGGCTTCTTAATGTAGTGGTGCACTGGTTGAATGAAGCGCTCTCTGAACACATCAGAACCTCATAAGGTCATG